ATTCTCGCCATGTATACCCTCGTCAAGTCAACCCTAACCATGCTAGAAATGTAACTCCATATACATAAAACGACAACACCAGGGAGTAACCAGGCCTGATTATCTGACAAAAGATCCCATTGGGCGTCATGGCTACACTAACCATCAAGATCCTCACAGCGATTTCCCGTTCACGGAGCTCTCTATACTATCGCTGCCATCAGTGAAAGCTCCCCACCGTGATAGGTGGCTACGACCATGCTTGGAATTGAACTCGACAACCGACGGACCGTTATGTTTACAAAACAAATGATGACTGCCGTGACGCCGAATACTCTTACCCCTTGCTTAAATATTTTCTTTGTTTGTCAATTTGAATTTCTGATTCATTACAACTATTATATAGTAAGAAAGTAAGGGGGAAGTCGGGTGATTTTCCGTTCGTCTGCAATCTCGAACCAATCTGATCAAACAAACAAAAAGGTACATTCATGTAGGCAATATGATCAGTCGTAAATCTTCAAAATTAACTATGATTGCATTCCGAAAGGCATAAACCAAGTATAAACTTTACTATATTTTGGATTAGAGGGCAAATTTCAAGATGGCCGCTCCCACACTAGTGGCAGCGATGTTACCGAGAGTGCAACAGAGGTGTCACGCGCCGGGAAGGAGTTAGACTAACCATGTCAACCTGCCACGAGAACCGAAGAAGGAGAAGAAAAAGAAGATGTTTATTCTCATGAATCACGGTGGTGATATTGAGAAGTTGTCAGGAAAACATACACAATAATGAGACAATAATTAGTGGAGCATACGCAATCCACATTTAACATACTAAGCTTAAGAAGAGGTTCACAAGAGCATGCCATAAGGAAAATACTTATCTACCATGATATGATGGACAATGTCTTTTTCTTAAATGATCCAATTCACAACATTCTTATATACAATTAAATTCATCACCATAAAAGAGATATTGGATGGAACTAGAACATATTACAAGAAGCTATACACCGCTGAAGATTGTACTCAAGTAAATTTAGAAAAGCTATTTGCAAATATAGAAATACAAAAACTAACTGAAAATATATTAGAAACCCTTGAAGGAAAATGTTTCATGAAGGAGCTTCATATGAAAAAAATGAAAAATGAAAAAATTCGGGCCCGGATGGATTGACAAGCAGAATTTATTAATTCTTTTGGAATAATCTGGTAAAATGTATGATGGATTTGCAACATTTTTTTAATTTTTAGGACTAGTTTGCGAAAAAACGGGTCTCTATTTTTAGATGGAATAGAATCTAGTGTTTTAGTTAACGGAATGGCCAGCACGTTTTTTTTCAATTACAACAGTTTGCCGCCAGAGGGATCCAGTCTCACCATATATATTTGTTTTATGTGAATAACATTTTGGCACTATTGATAGGTAAAGAAAAGAAAAATAGGGGTATAAAGATCGGATGCATAGAACTTATATTGGCACAATGTGCAGATGACACTACACTCATGTTAGATGGATCAGAGAAAGGAATGTATGCAGCAATAAAGACGGTACAATTTTTTGCCATATTTTCAGGATTTAAGGTGAATACAGAAAAAAACAAAGTTATGGATACGGTCAAAAACAAGATCCTGGTGTTTAGCTATGTAAATAATGAAATTTGGACTGGACCCAAACATAATTTACCTTACTGGGTGTCCATTTCGATATAGACTTGGAAAAACATATGGATAAATTATGATGAGAAAATAATTTCAATAGAAAAAAGAAATGAAATTATGGTCAGCTAAAAACTTGACACCAGTGGGAAGAAACGTTATACTCAAATCCTTACTTCTTCCCAAGCTAAACCACTTGTTTACTTATTTTGGAGAGATCAGTGTGGTACAATACCAACACAGCAATAAATAGTGAATCAGTTTTTAATATATGATCTGGTGAAGGGAAAAAAAAATATAAACGATTTTATGAATAAAGATGGTACATTGTGTAATCTTGCAGAATTCCCCCAAACCCCACAATATATCTGTAGATTATCTAAGATTCCAAGATCTGAGAACATCTATCAAAGCATATTTGATGAAACAAATGAAGGATAAACAAAAAGGCCTCTGGACTGTCCACTTCTTTCATTTAATCTGGCGGCACCAGGAATTGAAAAGAAAGGGTATGATCAAACTTTATTAGATGCAAGTTTTAAAAACAAAACAAATTCGGGAAAAAGTTTTTCTTGGAATATTGAAAAAGAAGAACAGGAAAATATTTATTTTATGGCTTCTCGGTGCAAAGTTTGAGTTTAAAGTTTTACACAACATTTGGCCACCAAAAGTTTCCTGTACAAGATTTGATATGTGGATACACCCATGTGTACTTTCTGCACAGCTGAACCAGAAACAGTAATGCATATGATGTGTGGATGTAAATACGTGAGGGATGTGTGTGGGAACATGACGAACTGGCTAAATACAATCTCTGAGGGAAAAGTTCAATTTACAAATGAAAACATTATTTGTTTGTTTCAAGGGCATAAACAATAATCCATTAAATACGAATACTCTTATTGTAAAACAGATTGTATATAAAAACAGTAGAAATAAAGTTAAACCATAGTATACATAGTAAATCCATAAAACAAATAACAACCGTCTATTTTTAAAAAGAAAGATACTAGTACAATGAATTATTTTTTATCACCAACATTAACTTTACAAAGTGAGCAAAGCCTATCTACATATTGATATTTTACCATCCACATGTTTTAAATGGGTGTCGATGGTTGGAGGTTCTAATCATGGTAAATTAAGAGGTAAATACAGTAAAAAATCTTCCTTTAAATGACTGAGTGAGTTGTGTTTGACCCCCCTTGGAACTTTATTCCAGTTATATCACGGCGTGTTAGCTTGATGTGGGATGAAAGCCCGAAGTGGTGCAGGTTTTAGACGTTTACTACTTTAGCGAACCCACCAGCGCGGTTCTGATGCTGACAAACCTAGAAACATTATCAGGGGTGATTTGAACTCACGATTAAAGCTTTCTTGCGTGCCCACTGGACGCAACTCTGCACACAGAATTGAATCGCCTCAGACGATTGGGTATCTATATACATAATATAATAATGTCTTTTTGATGAATTAACTTTATTTCGCATCCAACTTTGTAAAACTTTATCGATAAGGCCATTTTTGAGTTTAGCGTTTAACCAGTGACCACTTGGAAATTCCTGAGACAGACAAATTCAATACAAAAATGTACATTGTAAACTATGTTGACCTTCATTTTACAAGAAGGAACTGGGACTCTGGTTGGAAATTTGAAGTTTCAGCATATGTTTGTACGTTATACCTGATAATATAGTTTCTGCTAGAACCAATTTACACCTAGGGGGCACGGGTGGCCCAGTCGTCTAAGGCGCCGCGATTCGCTGTGCAGAGTTGCGTCCCTTGGGTTCGAATCCCGGTTCGCCCCGATTATGTTTCTAGGTTTGTCAGCACCATACCCGTGCTCGTGGGTTTCACCGAAGTGGTAAACGTCTGAGACCTTCATCACTTCGGGCTTTCCTCCCACATTAAGCTGACACGCCGCGATATAACTGGAATAGTGTTAAAAGCGGCGTTAAACCCAACTCACTCACTCACTCACTCAATTTACACCTATATGATAGCTTTCTTAAGCTAACAAGAATGTTCACTGGATATCTCGCCGTACAAGATAGAATCAGGAGTTATTTCCTTTACATTGAAAATATATTATCCAATACAATACCCTAAATGAACGCGCTCCGGTACAATAGTATATTCGTGGCCCCAGACCTCCTATCCATAACAACAAAATGGGTTGGAGAAGTTGGTCAAATAATTTATGTTGACAGTCAATATTTACTTCTAAAAATCGCATGTTTCTAAAATGTTTGATGTTTCTTAAAATATCAAACATTGGATTTGTCAAATAACCGTTTAATGACTTTACAAGATCGTTTGCTTGACATACAATAAGAAAAACACCCAAAATGTACAATTAATGATAGTGTTTTTCGCTTTTGCAGTGTTGACCTTGAGTTTCCAATGCTTTGAAACATATTTCAAATTGTCTCAGAAATAGGGACAGTATAATTGACATAGAGCATTTCCAAAGGCTTAATAAACCTTTCAATTTCTTTTAAAACAGAACCATTAACAATTTCCTGACCGATGATATCCTTATCTGGCAAAAATGACTTAAGGTCATTTAGATAAAGGGCCAAGATAAATGGCAACATATTCTCACCTTGCCTTACTCCAGTGTTACATGGAAACAAACGCAGTTACATTGCCATTATGAGAAACACGTTTTCATGTGTTGTACATGTTATTGATAACATTAAATAATTTATAGGTGAATCCAATTACTTTGAATCATTTCATAACGCCAAACCATATCAAATGCCTTATTAAAATCAACAAATACACAACAGAATGTTAGTTATTTTGTTAGGGATGGCTTGTAGTTGGTTACTCTAAATGGAGGTGCAGATTTTGCCCAAACAACTGGTAATTGATATAACTGTAGTCATCTAGGGCTCCGGGGTCGCCCTTGTTTTTGTAACAACTCAAGCAATTCTAGCCTTGTCAACCTCAATCGTGTCAACCCCCAACATGCTAGCCATATCAACTCCCAAAACGCTAGCCATAGCAACTGCAACCATGTCTAACCCAACAATGCCCCCAACAACCCTAGCCAAGCTAGCCATGTAACCCCAACACATCCTAGCCATGTCAACCTCAACAACCCTAGCCATGCTGGCCATGTAACCCCAACAACCCTTGCCACGCAAGCCCCAACACATCCTAGCCATGTCAACCCCAACAACCCTAGCCACGCTAGCCATGTCAACCTCAACAACCCTAGCCACGCTAGCCATGTCAACCTCAACAACCCTAGCCACGCTAGCCATGTAACCCCAACACATCCTAGCCACGCTAGCCATGTAACCCCAACAACCCCAGCCAAGCTAGCCATGTAGCCCAAACACATCCTAGCCATGTCAACCTTAACAACCCTTGCCGTGCTGGCCGACAACCCCAGTCATGCTATCCACGTCAACCCCCGTCATGCTTACCATGATTACCCAAGCCATGCTATCCACGTCAACCCCAGTCATGCTAACCATGACAACTCCAGTCATGCTATCAACGTCAACCCCAATCATGCTAACCACGACAACCCCAGCCATGCTATCAACGTCAACCCCAATCATGCTTACCATGATAACCCCAATCATGCTATCCACGTCAACCCAATTCATGCTTACCATGACAACCCCAGTCGTGCTATCCACGTCAGCCCCAATCATGCATACCATGACAAGCCCAATCATGGATGCCATGACAAGCCCAATCATGCATACCATGACAAGCCCAATCATGTTTACCAGAACAAGCCCAATCATGCTAACCACGACAACCCCAGCCAATGCTATCAACGTCAACCCCAGTCATGCTTACCATGACAACCCCAGCCAATGCTATCCACGACAACCCTAGCCATGCTATCCACGTCAAGCCCAGTCATGCTAACCATGACAACCCCAGTCATGCTATCAACGTCAACCCCAATCATGCTAACCACGACAACCCCAGTCATGCTATCCACGTCAACCCCCGTCATGCTAACCATGACAACCCCAGTCATGCTATCAACGTCAACCCCCGCCAAGCTAGCCATGTAGCCCAAACACATCCTAGCCATGTCAACCTCAACAACCCTTGCCGTGCTGGCCATGTAACCCCAACAACCCTAGCCACGCTAGCAATATAACCCCAACAAATCCTAGCCATGTCAACCCCAACAACCCTAGCCACGCTAGCCATGTCACCCTCAACAACCCTAACCGTGCCGGCCATGTAACCCCACTCATGCTAGTCATGTCAACCCCAAGAACACTGGCCATGCTAGCCACGTAACCCCAATCATGCTAGTCATGTCAACCCCAAGAACTCCAGCCACGCTAGTCATGTAACCCCACTCATGCTAGTCATGTCAACCCCAAGAACCCTGGCCATGCTAGCCATGTAACGCCACTCATGCTAGCCAGGTCAAACCCAACAACCCTAGCCACACTAGCCATGTAACCCTAAAAAATCCTAGCCATGTTAACCTCAACAACCCTAGCTATGCTAGCCATGTAACCCCACTCATGCTAGCCATGTCAACCCTAACCACCCTAGCCACGTCAACCTCAACAACGCTAACCATGTGAACCATGTCAAACCCAACAACTCTAGCTATGCTAACCATGTAACCCCACTCATGCTTGACATGTCAACTCCAACCACCCTAGCCATGTCAACCTCAACAACGCTAGCCATGTCAACCCCAACAATCCTAGCCATGTCAACCTCAACACCACTAGCCATGTCAACCCAAAACTCCTCTAGCCATGTCAACCCTAACAACGCCAGCAAACCGTGACAATCTAACCACGCCAACCCCAGTCTTGCTAACCATGAAAACCCCAGCCATGCTAACCACGACAACCCCAGTCATACTATCCACGTCTACCCCCGTCATGCTTACCATGATTACCCCAGCCATGCTATCCACGACAACCCCAGTCATGCTATCAACGTCAACCCCAATCATGCTAACCACGACAACCCCAGCAATGCTATCCACGTCAACCCCCGTCATGCTTACCATGATAACCCCAGCCATGCTAACCACGTCAACCCAAATAATGCATACCATGACAAGCCCAATCATGCATACCATGACAACCCCAGCCATACTAGCCATGAGAACCCCAGCCATGCTAGCCATGAGAACCCAATCATGCTATCCACGTCAACCCCATTCATGCTAACCATGACAACCCCAGTCGTGCTATCCACGTCAGCCCCAATCATGCATACCATGACAAGCCCAATCATGCATACCATGACAAGCCCAATCATGCATACCATGACAAGCCCAATCATGCATACCAGGACAAGCCCAATCATGCTAACCACGACAACCCCAGTCATGCTATCAACGTCAACCCCAGTCATGCTTACCATGACAACCCCAGCCAATGCTATCCACGACAACCCTTGTCATGCTATCCACGACAACCCCAGTCATGCTAACCATGACAACCCCAGTCATGCTATCAACGTCAACCCCAATCATGCTAACCACGACAACCCCAGTCATGCTATCCACGTCAACCCCCGTCATGCTAACCATGACAACCCCAGTCATGCTATCAACGTCAACCCCAGTCATGCTAACCATGACAACCCCAGTCATGCTATCCACGTCAACCCCCGTCATGCTTACCATGCTAACCCCAGCCATGCTAACCACGTCAACCAAAATAATGCATACCATGACAAGCCCAATCATGCATACCACGACAACCCCAGCCATACTAGCAATGAGAACCCCAGCCATGCTAGCCATGAGAACCCAATCATGCTATCCACGTCAACCCCATTCATGCTAACCATGACAACCCCAGTAATGCTATCCACGTCAGCCCAAATCATGCATACCATGACAAGCCCAATCATACATACCATGACAAGCCCAATCATGCATACCAGGACAAGCCTAATCATGCATACCATGACAAGCCCAGCCATACTAGCCACGTCAACCCCAGCCATGCTATCCACGTCAACCCCAGTCATACTAGCCATGAGAACCCTAGCCATGCTATCCACGTCAACCCCAATCATGCAAACCATGACAACCCCAGTCATGCTATCCACGTCAACCTCAGCCATACTAGCCATGAGAACCCCAGTCATGCTATCCACGTCAACCCCAGCCATACTAGCCATGAAAACTCCAGCCATGCTATCCACGTCAACCCTACTCATGCAAACCATGACAACCCCAGTCATGCTATCCACGCCATGCTATTATGAGCCAACCAAATCTCATGGGACCATGCACACACAAACGCAAAAAATATACATGTATATGTATATGTTGAGGGTTTCAGGAGAAAATGCCAAATTTGTGGAAAATAGGCAAGGCATACATCACTAAACACCAAAGGTTTTAGGCACAGTTTCTAAAATAGATGGTCCTGCCATTGTCAACATACAGCCTGCTCCCAGGGCTCAGGTCAAACCATGCTTGGTCACACATATGGCAAGTTCCATCACTACGGTGGTACTCCGCGCTCTTGCAAAGTCCAGCTTCGGTCGTGCATCTCTCCCAACATGCCTGAGCCGTAGTCGTGGTCGTAGAAACAGTGTTGCAGTTTTCCACGCCAACGTCTTTATGACCGACGTAGGTGTTACCGTACGTAGAGCATACTGAAATAGAAATTGTCTTTGACAGAGAAAGGTTAACTTTTTACAAACAGTAGGAATGATCGAAACTACTGTGTGTGCGTGTTTGTGTGTGTGTGTGTTTGTGTTCGTGTGTGTGTGCGCGTGCGTATGTGTGTTTGTGCATGCATGCGTGCGTGCGTGGGTGCGTGTGTGTATGTGTGTGTGCGTGCGTGCGTGCGTGCGTGCGTGCATGCGTGCGTGCGTGCGTGTGTGTTAGTCCAGGACATTTAAAATAGCAATCTATCGTGCATCATACTATTTACAGCAATGACAATGGAGGGTGGGCCAGATATCTTAAGCAAATAAATAAAACGTTACATTGCATTTTCTCCAAACACCTCTGAAAATTACCAAAGAATCTTGAAGGTTGATTAAAAGGATTCAGATGGTATCCGGGAACAATTGTCTTTATTTGTTTCCAGTAAATATTGTTAATCTGGGTATATCGTGCACCTGGATTTTCTCTGTCAAACCGACCCTTAACATCCTCAGTAAGTTTAGAGTGCTGTTTTACGTCGCACATCGTACCCTGTACCCACGTGATAAGCAAACGCTTTAACCACGAGACTTCCCCATCACCTTCAGGAAGATTAATCTACTTAGGCCTTTTGGTTTATTAGAAAACTCACAAAAATTCTTTCTGATGCCCAACATACGTGTTGGAAATAACATGAAATTCGGTTTAAGACCGCCAGCGTCCACACATTTATTTATTGCCTCACTATATCCAAAATACATGATTTGTTTGGTTTTGACGTCGCACTCAGCAATATTCCAGCTATATGACGGCGGTCTGTACAATCCAGTGATTGACATCATGAGCATCGATCTACGCAATTTGGATACGATAACATGCATCAACCAATTCAGCGAGCGAGCCTGACCACCCGATCCCGTTAGTCGCCTCTTACGACAAATTACGGGGGCGCACCAAATGTATGAACATAGTATCGTCCGCTACCTTAGCCTGTCGTCTAAACGCACTGAAGTTAATTTCAGCTCAAACAAATATTATGAAACATGATATACATATAATTTATCCATATCCAAAAAATACCATTGGTCTTTTAAAGTTTTGTTAAGGTCGCTTTGTATGAACGGTTATCTGAGCCTTGGCATTCATAAATGAAATGATCCTTTCATGAACATGTACTTACATTGCACACATTCGTTGGTGTCAGATTTGAAAGAGTAGCCAATATCACACACGCAGGTTCCACTTCTACAGATGAAATTAGATGCTGAGCAATTTGTGTTACTGCCGCAGAGATGCCCGAGTAATTTGGTTGCTGGAAGGAAAGAGAGACAGATAACATCATCGTCAATATTTCACTGTGTATTCACGGCCTTTCATCACACGTGAATACACACGTCCGCTTTGCAGTGCTATTTTAAACCCACGAATCACGCCACGGCATGGTTCCAACGAGAGGAGCTGTTACGCTGACCAATGAACGCTCAGTTTACATCGCACACACGGCAATATTCCTCGTGTGACGTGTGCTTGAGCCCGTGCAGCCATCTTCTCTTACATTGCTTCAATATGAGGCAATGGTAGCAGTCTTGCACGGAGTAGGGTTCATTTGACTTCAAAGTATACAGAACCTCATGCCATTGGTTCAAACAGACACGCGTCACTGTTACACCCCACAGCCGTCGTATGTATTCACAGGCGATGGTAAACCGTGAAGCACTGACGATGAGAAAAGACATGGTCCATATTTTGGCCTACGCGTTACGTAGTCTTAAACAGTTCGAAACTTTTAATAAAACCGACCAAACCCTTTCTATATTTTAACAAATCTCATAGCCAAGAAATGAGCGTTTATTGTCCCACCGGTGGTACCCGTCACAAATACATGCAAAGACAGGTCAATTGTTTACGTGACAACGCTGTTTCAGGTTTCTACTCTCATCCTCCTCTGTGGGCGACGTGCGCAACCCACCTGTTCCAAAATAAGGTGGACGAACAACTGATGACACGGTCAACGTGAATGATACTGAGGGAATTACACACGGGTCACCGACGACCAGCATGATGAACTGCGGAGGATCATTCAGGGAAGACGTCCAAAACAACAAAAAGCGCGAGTTCCCCGCAAGTAGTCCACGGATCTCGCATTGAAATCGATCGTAATATTTCTGTTAACAGATAGCGCGCCAGTTGATGCTGTGTGTTAAAATAAATAATAAATCTTTGTAATATTTGCGAGTTGATTTTTATTAAAGTAGCTCCGGGCTCTTCACCGGGTATTAACTGACATATTGGTCAAAGGAACCATGCTTTAATTTTAATTTATTCAGTTTCGAAAAGTTATTTTAACTTACAGTCTCCGCAGTTTCTGAAGTAGGTCGTCCATCCTGGATCTGAATACAGCCGACTTCCTGAGCTGAGTTCAAACCAGGCTTTATCACACAAAATACAGGACCCAGATGCTCCGTAGTACTCAACGTTCTTGCACAGCATCCCCGTCTGTGAGGTACATGTCTTCCAGCAGTCTTCAGCAGTTGACGCCGTTACAGAGATGAGGTTGCATCCGCCAACGCCAACGTCGACGTAACCATCGTAGCTATCCCCGTAAACTGTGCAGACTGATTTCCCCCCCCAAATATACATTAATTCGAGCATCGATTCACGCCATTGGGGTACGATCACATACAATCAAGGCACCGAGCCTTACCATTTAGATGCCTATTACGACAAAACGCCCATGCCCCATGCGTTGTCAACGTCTGTAATTAAGGGGAATGAGTGAGTGAGTGAGTGAGTGAGTTGGGTTCAACGCCGCTTTTAACAGTATCCCAGTTGTTTCGCGGCGTGTCAGCTTAATGTGGGGGGAAAGCCCGAAGTTTAAGGGGAATGAACTTCTAGGCATTAGTGTATGAACATACTTAGAACAAAACACACTACGGATGAGTAATAATTAACTTTGTTTGCATTCCTAAATCTTAATGTGTGCCTGTTATTCAATTGATAATTAATTAATTTAAATCTACATATCTATCCATAAAACATCTTCCCGAGGCAAGGGAGTTAACTGACTTTAAAAATCCAGTTTCCACCCTTGCCGAACTAGGCTGGAATTACTGGGCTTGATCGTTGCGCCATCAGTGGCTATTACCAATTATGTCCCTTCTAAGCCTCTCCTATGGACCAATCAGATTCCACCTCTCGTATCAATTGCGTTTGCTTCACACAAAATGGTGGCGCTAAGTCAGGACGATCGGATCGATAATCAAGATCTATATTGTGATAAAACGGGTCTTACATCGCGAAATGCATCAAATCACGTGAGCACCTTGATTAAAAACATGAAAATATTTGGAAAATATCTGCTGACAACGAGTTGGCGGTGCACATGCTTTGCAAATCCTGCAATCGATCGGATTTTGATTTAGGCGCGCGATTTTGAATGGACTATGCATAGACTCGTTAGACAAAATGTAGCATAATACCAGCCTAGTTCGGCAAGGGTGGAAACTGTACTTTTATAGTCAGTTTACTCTCATGCCTCGGGAAGAAGTCCACAAAACTGATTTTGATATGTGGGTCTTTTGCGCATGTTATGGCCCTGTCACACTACAACGTATAGCAGTAACGTTTGGCGACGTATGAGAATCTTTGCAAAAAACGTCGGCAACGCTGAAACACGCTATGGATAAGTTAGGTGTAATTTGTATACGTTAAAAGCACGCTGGTATACGTTGTAGTACGCCGAGGCTTAAAACATTTTTGTGCATGCACAAAACTTTCGGCGTATGGGAACGTATGAATTATACGTTAGGCATACGTTAGAGGTAAGGTTTAAGGCAGGTTTCTTCTTGGGAGGCATCTTGATGATGTTGACAGAGCGAAGACTACTGCTTGAATGAAGTAAAATATAATTTGATGAATGGGTGTACACTACTAGTTATTCTACCGCGGGGCCCGTTTGGGGCACTTTTCCCCTACGCTGAAGGCGCCAGTCAAACGTTACTCATACGCTGGGCATACGCTGGCCATGGGTTGAACACGCAAGACACACGCTGGCAATACGCTTTTATACGCTGTCATAAGTTATGTATAAGTCAGTGATACGCTCCTAATACGTTTGACATGCGTTACATATACGGTGAACTGGTTATGTATACGTTATGGATACGCCAAAATCATGGTTTTTCGATGAAAGCTCGACGTATGACAGCGTACTAACTTTCTTTAACACGCTCGGTACAAGTTACTCAAAAACGTTGTAGTGTGACAGGGCCATTAGTTTGCTTTACACGGGCGTATTGTATATAGTATTCTATTACAGACGAAAACGAGATTAAATATACCTTTCTGACTATCGATCTCTGGTTCCAACTAGACTGCGGACCAGAGTTGGTCTATTCGTTCATACCAAACTGACCCGTGAAGATCCGGGGTCTTCAGCAACCCGTGCTTGCCGTAAAAGGTGACTATGATTGTCGTAAAAGGCGACTAACGGGATCGGGTGGTCAGGCTCGCTGACTTGGTTCATGCATGTCATCGATCCCCATTGCGTGGATCGATGCTCATGATATTAGTCACTGGATTGTCTGGTCCAGACTGGATTATTTACAGACCGCCATCATATAGCTGGAATATTGCTGAGTGCGGCGTGAAACAACAAAGCAACCAACCAGTCATGCCAAACTAGTACAGTATGGAATTGAATGTCTTACGTGTAGCAAGTAAACACTCACATTGGTCACATTGGTTTTCTTCTTTATTAAAAGAGTATCCGACATCACAGACACAGCTGCCACTGCGGCATATCGAGTTGGCAACTGAGCAATCGGAGTTAGAGCTGCATGTAGTACTGTGAAGATCCGGCGCTGAAACGTGAGTGTATGAGTGAGTGGTTAGGTGGGTGGGTGAGTGGGTATGGATGAGTGGTTAGGTGGGCGGGTGAGTGAGTGAGTGAGTGGTGAGGTGAGTGGGTATGGGTGAGTGAGTGAGTGAGTGAGTGGCTGTGTGGGTGGGTGTTTGAGTGAGTGAGTGAGTGAGTGAGTGGGTGAGTGGGAAGATGAGTGAGTGAGTGTACACAGGTGCATTGACCAGTTTCTTTCTTTTGGGTTCATTCCCATGGTGGAATTGAAATAAATACATATAACTGAGTGAGTGAGTATGGTTTTACGCCGCTTTTAGCAATATTCCAGCAATATCACGGCGGAGGACACCAGAAATGGGCTTCACACATTGTACCCATGTCGGGAATCGAAACCGGGTCTTCGCCTTGACGAGCTAACGCTTTAACCACTAGGCTACCCAACCACCCCTTATATTCATATAAGCTTTCTTGAGATTACGTATATTTATAAATTAGTTTGTTTATATGATTTTGGTTTTAAACTCCCAGACCATGGTATATCAGATAACATATTACAAGCGAGATCTCTGTACGAAAATGTTATATGCTCTGTGTAAGTGAATCAGTTTGAAACCGATGTGTTTGATTTATTTTTAGTGTTATCGCTACCCTCTTCGCGTTGTACGTTCATGGTCTCGCTGAAGAGGTCAAGGAAAGCAACGTCGGTACACAGATTGATAACTTTATGGTGACGACAGGGTACATCTAGCCCTAGAGGCTGACAGTCCACAGCTCATGTGGGGGGCACGGGTGGCCCAGTCGTCTAAGGCTCCGCGATTCGCTGTGCAGAGTTGCGTCCTTTGGGCACGCCAGAAACCTATGATTGTGTTTTCGAATCCCGGTTCGCCCCGATTATGTTTCTTGGTTCGTCAGCACCATACCCGTGGTCGTTGGTTTTACCGAAGTGGTAAACGTCTGAGACCTTCATCACTTCGGGCTTTCCTCCCACATTAAGCTGACACGCCGTGATATAACTGGAATAAAGTTAAAAGCGGCGATAAACCCAACTCGCTCGCCACAGCTCATGTTGGATATCCTTTACCGTTGGATGTGTTGATGGAGGCTGCGTAAATGTGTGTATTTCAGGCAGAAACAAATTCACAGTGTAACATGATTTGTTATCGTGGTTACATTAATGTCAAGTATTCAGACAGACACAGGTTTCTCGGATTCTGACTTCCTGCTTACTGTGATATGCATATGCGAGCTTGACTGTCAATTTAGCATCACCTGCTCTTGGCTGTTTAACACACAATTTTGCTCTTATGGAGACATGTCTTACAACGTGTTCCCACAACTATATGAAAGTTTTGTTCAACTAGACCTGGCATAGTATCCTTGGGTTTGTGGGGTATGGATGTAAATACCCGGAGGTGATACCATTCAGAGCAGAAATTGAAGAATTTGCTTGTCTCCAGGAACATGCCAAGCATATCTACAAGAGTGAGTGAGTAAGTATGTTTCACGACGCTTTTAGCACTATTCCAGCAATATCACGCCGGTGGACACCAGAAATGGGCTTCACACATTGTACCCATGTCGGGAATCGAACCCGGGTCTTCGGCGTGACGATCGAATGCTTTAACCACTAGGCTACCCGACCGCCCCCTTAGCTACAAGAGGATATATGAGATGATTGGACCCACAACTGAAATTATATGCTGAATCAGCAAGGTTGTGGTGTAGACTCGAACACCAGACAGACATTGTTAATTGAGTTCCTACACCGTCAATAGGGCGTGACTCTCTGTCCCCTGTTCCCAGGTATGGGTTTTGCAATGCATTTGCGACGATGAAACAATAACATATACAACACTTTACACCACTATGAAGCACAGTTCCGTTAGTATGAATTCTCCCGAGGTCACATCATGAGACTTGGTTCAATGTTCTAGAAGTGTGGGAATAATTAATTTCTTCATTAATTTATGTACAATTTCATGAAAATTGAACCAAGTCTCATAGTGTGACCAACAGTGAATTTATACTCACGGATATGTTCCAGTCGCATGTTTCATTAAATTGACGGGCATCAGAAAATTACTCTACAACTGAGAAAGAAATCCTTATATGTATCCCTTTGAAGTGGTCACTTACAAGTATGTCTGATTGCCCGTTTGGGAGTGCGTCAGGGTTGTGTATTAAGCCCATTCTTGTTCTCTTTCTTCATAAATGAACTTGTTCTTGAAATTAACTCAAAATCTAAAAATGGCATCCAGTTATATCCAGATCTAATAGAAATATTCCTTTTACTTTTTGCTGACGATGTTGTCCTTTTTTCTGATTCGGTAATTGGTCTTCAACGTCAAATCAATATTTTGGAAAATTATTGTGACAAGTGGTCACTGTCCGTCAATCTAAATAAAACCAAAGTTCTTGTTTTTAAAAGCGCTTGGAAATTATCAAAATTAGAGAAATGGATATACAAAGATGCACATATAGAGGTAGTTTCACCTTATACTTACCTTGGAATATTGTTAACTAGGACTTTGAGTTGGAATAAATATCTGGAAGCTACATCTGTTTAAGCTAAGAAAGTGTTGATGTCAATCCTACAAAGTTTGTTAAAATATGATAATCTGCCTTATAATTTATACTTTCAAATTTTTGATACAAAGATAGTGCCAATTTTACTTTATGGATCAGAAATATGGGGTTATAGAAAATATGAGTGTATAGAAAAAAATGCGTGTAACTACTCTTCCATCCACGTGATGCCCAGTAAAAGCCTATAACATGCTGT